ATATTATGTGGCTACTATTCTAATCATGTTCACCTCACTGAGCTCCTCTTGAAACCGGATTATCTAACTCCAGAACCTCCACTTAAGCCACCATATTTTACTGCAATTTGACCCAACACTGATACAACATCCTTGTTAGGACCTTCAACTAAAGAAGAAAAAGCTGTGAGGGAAAACAGCTTACCTGAAACAGCTTATAATTTATTTAATCAATGGAATACCGCCGAGCCAAAATGGGTTCAGCATCACTAGAATAAGGTGTATTTGCTTCACCCAAACCTGGACTTCTCCAGAAGATGATTTAGGAATCCATACCACTGCAGACCTTCTGGCTACTTCTTCTTTGCATCTTTTTCTTTCACAGGCAGAGTATCATTTAAAAAAAAAAATGCAGTGAAAAAAACCTGAAAAGCAAAGGCACAGCCCTATTAAGAGAATGATACGGGGACAGGAATATTTTTTTGTGATTGCAGGGGATGAGGAGAGGTATCAGTGGTGACTTTCCACAGACCAGCTGCAAAATAAGGGAAGGAAGTCAGAAGTGGAGAAACAGACACCAAAGGTTTATAGACAGCTTTTATTCAGAATGGTAATAGAAGACCTAGTCCACCATCTGAACATAGTTAATTCATTGTGAAAGCTGAGCTAGATACGTATGTTTTCCTTTTTTTTTTTTTTTTTTTTTTTTTTCTTTTTAAACAAAACATTTCAGGCTTTGATAATGCAGTCATAGCTGTAATGAAGTCACCAGGCCTTGAGTTTGGTGCACCCAAGCTAACCTGGCGGCGCAGCAAGCTGAGCTGGACTGTGTTGTTTACAGGCTTTGCTTTATTGTGGCTTGGAGTCACGCACAAATATTGGCAGCTAGAACAAAGGACAGAAAGCTCGGCTTGGGTAAAGGGCTGCCTGCTGGAGGAGGACACATGATTTGGGCTTTGCTGAGTACCTCCCAACCCTGGAGGGGTTTGGCCCAGACAGTGGAGGAGCTGAGAGGTGCTTCAGGGCTCTGACTTATCTCATGGCCTGACCTGCCTAAACTGAGTCATGTGAGCTGGGCTTTCAGTAGCCTGTTTTGGGGTTGGGTTGTTGATTCGGGTTTTTGTTTGTTAGTTTGGGGTTTTTTTTTAAACATCAGACAAATACCCGGTTAAATGGGACTTGTGGGCTTTGATTTCTCGGTGATGTGGAGAAGACCTTTGTGGTGGGGGATTTGCTGGTTTGGGCACTGTGCATCTCCCTGGGCTGCTGGGAGGGGGCTGTGGGACCTCTGCCATCACATATAGCCCAAATAGTTGTAGCTCTGTCCCTGAGAAAACAGCCAGGGAACTGCTTCAGGCTCCAGTATGTCTGCAGGGATGGAGAAGACACCTGGGTGATGTCACCTCCAACCCTCCTCCCTGGCTCTCTGCCCGCGCCGTTGCAGGCAGCAGCCGGCAGCGCGGAGGGACTGCGGGCGGGTTGGTGCAGTGCCAGCCGCAGGCATCTCCCTTTGGGTGCTCTCCTCTCCCCACGCTCAGCTGCTCTGAGCGGCTCAGGGTGGAGGGCCTTCAGCCTCAGTGCTTCCTCCTCGCTGCCTGGGAGGAGGCTCGAGGGCTGCACTCGAGTGGTCCAAATTTCCTCTTTTCAAGCAACCAGCTGGCTGAACTGTGAGAGTCCTGCCCAGGGACATGTGTGCTGGTGGGTAGCAGCTTTCTGGGCTTATTTCTTGCTTATCCTTCAAGAAATTGCATTATTGGATCCCAAAGCAAGAGGCAGGGGACTTGTTATCAGCTCAAGAAGAGGTAGAGCAGCTCGGGAGGCTCTTTGTAAGCCCCAAACGTCCTTTTGCCACCTGGAGGGTTTGCTAGGGTGAAGCTGCTGTGTCTCAAGAAGTCCAACAGCCAAGCTTTGCTTCTGTTTTCAACCTAACAAGCTGTGGTGGGATGTGATCTGTGAATACAGCCTTTGCCAGGGTTATCCTGAAGCTGCAAGGCACCTCCAGGGGGTTGCAAAGGGAAAGGGTCTTCTGGGGTTGCTGGAGAAACTCCTCTGGCCTGTTTACCATGCCGAAAGAAAACCAGAAAGAAATATCTGTCAGGTGCAGCAGCTGTTACGCAAGTTTGGTTTTGGTGCTGCACATTTGGTGGTATTTGAAGCAGCAGTGGAGATTGAGGGGGAGGGAAGGCGTGTGTGGAGGAGATAGCGGTGGTGGGAGACGCACGAGTGCGATAACGCTGCCACGGGAAGTGTCTTACTGCTTGTGTCTGCGGGGAAAGGGGGGTGATGGTGGAAGGCAGAAGCCTTTTCTTACTTGCTGCGTTGCTGCTGGGGTCAGCGTGCCTCTGGATGCATGTGATTTGCTGTCGGTGGAAATTCGTCCTGCCCGCCCTGTGCCTGCGCTCTCTATAGATAGATTTGCTGTACACAGGGTGCTTGCTGAAGCCGTGGAGGAGTAGGGAGGAAAAAAATTGCATGAGATCGAGGATTTCCCCTTCCTTCTTCATCCAAGTCTTGGGATACTCCATGCCATCCAGCTGTATCAGCTCCCCTTCCTCCCGACCCCTGCCCAGCAAACTTCATGCCCACAGGAGACTTCACGGAATCACACAATGGTTTGGGTTGGAAGGGACCTTTAAAGGCCATCAAACCAACCCCCCTTGCAGTGAGCAGGGACATCTTCACCTACATCAGGTTGTTCAGGGCCCCGTCCAACATGACCTTGAACCCTTCCAGGGATGGGGCATCCACCTCCTCTCTGGGCAACCTGTGCCAGTGTTTTACCACCTTCACTGTAAAAAATTTCTTCCTTATATCTAGTGTGAATCTCCCCTCTTTCAGTTTAAAACCGTTACCTCTCATCCTATCCCTACACTCCCTGATAAATTGTCCCTCCCCAGCTTTCCTGTAGCCCCCTTTAACTATTGAGAGACCACATTAAGGTCCCCCCAGAGCCTTCTCCAGGCTGAACCGCCCCAACTCTCTCATGGTGGTAGGAGACTTGACAAGAGACTGGTTTGCTGAAACAACCAACTGGTTCCCAGCTATTTTGGTTGTGCTGGGCAATATCTCACTGCTTCTGCTGGGTTTGCAGCTGTCGGCTGTGTCGTGGGTTGGATACAGTGCAGCAGATCTTAGAAGACAAGCGCCTGTTGGAGGGGAAACTGCCTGGTGTCTTTTTTCAGTTTGGTCTCCGGTTACCTGGAGCTCACAGTCTGCAGCCGGTGTGGTCTGGTAACTTGAGGATATGAGATCTCCCATGTCCGTCCATCAAGAGCTCGGCACAAGCGGCCGTATCGATGCAGGAGGCTTTGCAGAGCGGGTTTTAGCGTGTCAGCAAAACATCCTGCTGAAAACAAAAGCATATTAGGTGGCTTCTGGCCTCGAAACCGCCTCCATTCAGTGCTACTGAAAATATGAAGTTGACTGCAGGAAGTACAGAGGTTCTTGGGTTGGCTTGTTGGAGATTTTTTTTTTCAACATTTTTCATTATAACAGGTGCTTCAGCTGAGGCTGGTCACCTCTAGGCTTTCTATGGCTGTGTTGAAGGGGCACAAAGCAAAAACCACAGTGGCCTTAGGAGTGTGTATTTATTTCTCTGGGCATAACCTCCTTCTTGCTGCATGAGCAGGGGAGCACAGTGGGGCCGCCAGCAATGCCAGCCAGTCTCTTATCTGCGAGAAAGAAACCTCTGAACAAGCAAATATGCATGAAACACCTTCAAAGAGGTGAGATCTGGGGGTAGGAGGACCCATGTGCTGCTGAAACTCAACCAGCTTTTGGGCTGAGCATCCCGCTGAAAGCTTGGAGAGTGGCAAGAAAAGTAAATAAATGGTGAAAGGAGGAGGGGGAAGGAAAAAAAAAACCAACAAACCCAAACCCTTTATACACTTAGTTGCAGCCGCCTGGGCTTGTTGCTGGCAGAAAGTAGGACACTCCTGCTGGGTTTTCTTCTCTGGAAAGGCTAAACTTGGCTGTGAGTGGGAGGCAGCCTGCATGGAAATGCGTGTGTGTCTCCCCATCCCCTGCCCCTGCTCAGCAAGCTCTGCTGCTGCTGGCAAGAGCTGTGTGTCCGGCTGCTCGGGCGCATTTGCCCAGAAGGGTTTAAGCTCAGGCTTGCAAAGTGATTAATACGTTCAGCTTGGTGAGATGAGTAGGAATTAAAGCCTAAATATCTCTGCTGTTCTGGCTGCTGCGGAGTATGCGAGGTCTTGGGTTGCTCGGCAGGCTTGGAGCCGGTCGGGGTGGATGTGGGGTTGGTGGAAGGGGAGCTGGGAGGTTTTGAAGGAGGAGGAGGAGGGTGCCCTGGTGTGTTTGCAGAGATTGAGCAGCTCGTGGCCCAGGTGCATGTCTGAGTCATACGTGGGGACGTGGAGCAAGTGGTGTTGGGGATTAAATTGGAGTTGGGCAGTTTAAGGTGAATTAGGTTAAAGGAGGCGGGAGAGCAGAGAAGCAGCTGAGCCCTTGGAGCGTCTTTGGGCTGGGTGATGCTTGTGCTCCTGCACAGGAGGCTGTGGTCCACTCTTGGTGTTTTCCCTGCATCTGTGTTCCCCAAATTGGGACTTTCTTGGTGCCCTGTGCCCAAGGATGTGTCTTCACATCCTCCTTCATGAAAAGCCCCAGCGTGAGGGGGGCACAGGCAGCAGCCACAGGCATCTCCAGTGCACGTGGACCCCCCTCTGCATGGGACAGGGCATCACCACCCAGGTCTGTGACCCTGATCAGAGTCCCCAGGGCAATGGTCTGGCCAAAATGAGGCTGTCAAGTCCAAAAATGTGATTTGGAGTGATGTCTTCAAAGGGAAGAGCACTGCACTAGGGCAGGGGCTAGCAGGTCTCCAGGGCTGTAGCTCTGCCTGCAGCTTGCCATGGAGGTGGGGTATCACTTATTCCTTCTCCTAGTCCTTATTCTCCATTTTTGTGGAAGTAAACACATCTTTTAATACCCTCCAAATCCTTTGGAGGGTATTCAAAAGATATTTTCCCACTGCTTCTAATCCTGCGGTGGTCAACATCAGGGTTGCCTTGTCTGATTTCTTCTGAGCTGCAGGAGGGGGTTTATTAGTCTGCTCCCGTGTCTCTCCCGACCTTTGGGGTAAGTCGGGATCGGGAGGAGCTTTGTGCAGCCACATGTTTTACCCTCCCACGTGTTGCTGCGACGGTCCTTCTGCCAAGCCCTTGCTCGCAGTCTGAGCCTGCTTGGGAAGGTTTCCAATGGTGCCCAAATCTGGCTGCAGGTGGAGTGTCCTGTTCCGTGGTCAAGATGTGGCCGTCCGTGTCCATCCTGTGTGTCCTGGTGGCCTTCGCCAATGCTCGCAGCATTCCTTACTACCCTCCTCTCTCCAGTGACTTGGTCAACCACATAAACAAGCTCAACACCACCTGGAAGGTGAGTACCAGATTGGTTTGGGGGGTTTTTTGGATACGTTGCTCAACAGCCTCTTGGTGGGACTCAATATTTGAGCTTTGGGAGTCTCACCATGGTGATGCATCAAACCAGACTTGATCCCAGTTGATTTCTCCAGCAAGTTGATGCTGTCAGGGGTTTCTGTGGTGACACTAACTGTGGAGCTTCTCCACTTTAAAGCAGAGCACTGATGAATTTGTAGAGTAGGAGCAATACTAAGTGGAGGAAACTCTCTGGGAGGCCAGAAACAAACAGCAAGTGTCTAGTTGTATTGGTGACCTGGCCAAAAGCTCCTGGACCAGGCTGTTGTGACCGAAGCCTAGAGTTGGGCCTTAGCTTACTGGTTGTGATGGGCTGATCCTGGAAGGGGCTGTGTTCTGTGTCTATAGGTAGCTTGGCTCTTGGCCTCTGGGGTTTATTGCAAGTGTCAGACACTGGTTGGGTTTGAGGGAGATCTGGAGCACCAGGCTGGTCCCAGCATTGCACTTGGTGGTCATGAAGAGTCATGTCCCATTTTTCTGTCTCTCTTCCCAGGCAGGGCACAACTTCCACAACACTGACATGAGCTATGTGAAGAAGCTCTGTGGCACCTTCCTGGGTGGGCCCAAGCTTCCCGAGAGGTGAGTGCCAGGAGGTTCCTGTAAAACCTTGTGTGGATGCTCCTGGTGCGTCTGGAGTGGGCGAGGGTCTCCCCTGGCAGACTGTGAGCAGGGTTCTGCTGGGTGCAGCTTGGTGGACATCTTGCATGGAATTAAGCACAAAAGCACACATGGGGGGAACATCCATCTTCTGTCCTGCCAGAAACTTGACTAGTTGTGTAATTTGTACTTCTTGAAACTCAAAACACTGCTGACCCGGTCCGAGGACTTCAGAAGTATTTATTCTCCTTCAGTGAGCAAACAAGAGCCCTTGTCCTCCAGGTCACCTTCAGACAAGGTTGGAGAGTCCTGTGCACCCAGTACACTGATGTTCCTGTAACAAGACTTCCCTCTTCTCACTTGCAGGGTAGATTTTGCTGCAGACATGGAACTTCCTGATAACTTTGACTCACGGACGCAGTGGCCTAACTGTCCTACCATCAATGAGATAAGAGATCAGGGCTCTTGCGGCTCTTGCTGGGTAAGAGCATGGGTGGTTTAAAGTCACATTGATACAGAGCTTGCCAAACAAAAGATGTGCTGTTGAGTTTGCTACTGAACTGCATAAATGGGGGGAAATGGGAGATCCTGCAGTGCCTGAGCTTGGTGGGCTTCTCCCAGCCATGTTCATGCTTCCTGCATTCATTGCCTGGTTTCCTCTTCCATGGCCAGCTCTGATGGTTTTTCCTTGTTTTTTGGGGGGCTGCCCACAGGCTTTTGGTGCCGTAGAAGCGATTTCAGACAGAATCTGTGTTCACACAAACGCCAAGGTGAGCGTGGAGGTCTCAGCGGAGGACTTGCTGTCATGCTGCGGCTTCGAGTGTGGCATGGGGTGAGCTGCTCTTAGTTCTTCTGTACTTAAAAGGTGGGTGGGAGGAGCAGGGACATAACCCAAAGGTGCTGATTGTTTTATCCCCGTCTTCCTCATGAGCAGCAAGCCCCACCAGTGGTTTGTGCAGTAGATGCTGGAGTTAGGTGGGAACATAAAGGTGACTGCATGGCCTGAAAGTCCCTCTGGGCCATGTCGTGCCCCAGCAGTAGTGGATGATGATGGCTGGTGGAGGGAGGGCAAACACATAACAATGCTTTCCCATACAGAGCTGGCAGCTGCCTGAGCCCAAGGCAGGATGTTTTAGTAGCCCCAAAGTCTCGGTTTTCAGGCACAAGCCTTTTGCCTGTGGCTTTTACAGCTGTTGAGAGCAGGGTGGGGAGTTGGGTCTCCCAAGTCGTGTGGCTGCTTCTGTTCCTGGCAGCAGAGGCTGACCAGCGACCTGGTGAGGAGGCACCACTGCTTTGGGATGTGGAGGCACAGGTGCTCTTAGCTCCTTCTTGCCCTGAGGCTTTTGTGTCTTGAGGCCTAGAAATCCTGGGGAAGGCAGGGACAGACTTAAAAAGGTTCGATGTGCTGAAAGCTTCCCTTCAGCCATCCCAAGCTGGCTCCATTTCTCCTGCCTCCCCCAAAAGGGGGGATGACTCTGAGCAGGCTGGGGCTGGAACTGCTGCCTCTTTCTCCAGGTGCAACGGTGGTTACCCCTCTGGTGCGTGGAGGTACTGGACAGAGAGGGGCCTTGTGTCTGGGGGTCTCTACGATTCCCATGTGGGTAAGTCCTGGCAGATACCCTGGTGGAAGCAAAGGAAGCATCTCTGCTCGGTTACAGGTTCATGTCCCTCAGGGTGCTTCTCTTCTGGTCTGCTTCCTTGTGGCTGCTCCCTCCTTCACGTCTGGACTCAAACACTTCTCCCAGTTGGTTGCTCCTGTCCCCATGGCTCCTTCTGGTCACCGCTTTGGGACAAGGTTCCCAGAGCAGCAGGAAACCCATCCAGGAAGGGAGCACAGTAGCCAGACTTAACCCCACAAGGCTCCTGCTTCCATAGCAGGAATGAATCAGGCTGTGAATTTTTTGTTATTGCTGGTTTTGAACCAGTTCAGTACACTTTGGATGAGGGCAGGAGTCTTTCTGATATGTTTCCCACTCAAAAAGCAACTTCCAGACTGGAAACTTCTGCCTTCTCCTAGAATGGCCATGACTTGGTTCATGTTTCCATCTTTTCCATCACCTTGTCAGGAGGGAGGTGGTGGGAAGCAGGTCCAGAAGGGAAACCCATTGCTGATGGAGGGATTCCTCATCTGGCAGCGGCAGACCTACTCTTGCTCTCACCCCACTGATCTGTGGGGTTTCTGTGTCAGAAAAGCTGTACTGTTTTGGGGGGCATCCGGAGCCTTCTCCAGCCTGGCTGCTGGGGACCGGCATGCTTGGGGACAGCCAGTTCATGCCATCTCTGTCCTCGACAGGCTGCCGTCCCTACTCCATCCCACCCTGTGAGCACCATGTCAACGGCTCCCGGCCACCGTGCACCGGGGAGGGGGGTGAAACCCCCAGGTGCAGCCGACACTGCGAACCTGGCTACTCCCCTTCCTACAAGGAGGACAAGCACTACGGTAAGGGAGGTGGCCTCCCACGCTGCTCGATGCACAGCAGCTCCACAGCTGCTCCTAGTGGTAACTTGGTGAGGTTGGCAGGCTGGGACCTCTTCCTAAACTGTTTGACAGGGGTAATTTTCTGTGCCCTCAGGATGGGTGGTCCTGGAGCAAATGCACAGTTTGTATTTGCTGAGACTCAGCTAAGATGGGGGAACGCACTGAGTCCTCGTGGTGCACACGCCTGGGTTGAAGAGCATGGTGCTGAGCCCTGTGGGAGTCTGGTGCCAAAGCCACCTCCTTCTTACTCCTCGATGGAGGCTGGCCCTGTACATCTCAAGGCCAGGTTGGACGGGGCTTTGGGCAACCTGGGCTAGTGGAAGGTGGCCCTGCCCATGGCAGGCGGTTGGAACTAAATGATTTTCAAGGTCCTTTCCAACCCAAACCATTCTGTGGTTCTATGCAGGATAGTCTGCCTGCTCCTCGGAGATTTATCTTAGCCTCGAGTAATATGGGTTGACTCCCCTTCCCACTGAAGCTGTCTGGAATAGGTCTTTGGGTACAGAATAGGACTCAATAGTTGGAGCCCACTTTTCCTGCTTGGCTGTGTCAGTGCCTCTGGAGCAGCTGGGTTTGAATTTAACCTCCTAAGGGGAGAAGGCCTCTTGCAGAGGCACGCTGAGCAGTCTCTGTCCAGCCATCCCAAGACTTGTGTGACCTGACAGTGCTGTACTAATGACAGGACTTTTTTCCTCTCTAGGCATCACATCCTATGGTGTCCCTCACAGTGAGAAGGAAATCATGGCTGAGATCTACAAGAACGGTCCGGTGGAAGGAGCTTTTATTGTCTATGAAGACTTCCTGATGTACAAGTCTGGTGAGCATCAGCACTGAGGCTGTAGGGAGCCCTGTTTCCTACTTCATCTGCAGGGTCTCTCTTTTGTGGCCCTTGTCCCTCTACTCAAGTCTGGAAGGAGAGCTCAAGTTCACACTTGAGTATGTGGTGTTGCAGGAACATGGGCAGGTACCATCTCCTGTATCCATTGGTTTATAGCAAGGGGAGTAGGTGCGTGGGACTGAGGGGATGCTTAGCATCAGGCCTTCCTCCAGACTCTACACTAAGCTTCATTTAACCAAAAACACCTCCTCAGCTGCTCTCTGGGGTTTGATATCAAATGTCTCACAAGCTGTCAGTGCTCTGAAGGGTGGAGACACAGTCGGTGCCTGTTGACATCTTGGCCTCTCACTTTGCAGGGGTCTACCAGCACGTGTCTGGCGAGCAGGTTGGAGGCCACGCGATCCGGATCCTGGGCTGGGGCGTGGACAACGGCACTCCGTACTGGCTGGCCGCTAACTCCTGGAACACCGACTGGGGGGACAATGGTGAGGCACCCCCATATGCTGCCGGAGGAGATCCCCCCCTCCCCATTCTCCTTGGCACGATGGGGAAGTTGACTTTTGCTCTTGGTATGCTTCTAGGCTTCTTCAAAATCCTCCGAGGAGAGGACCACTGCGGCATCGAGTCCGAGATTGTGGCCGGCATCCCCAGCACGGAGCAGTACTGGAAGCGGGTTTAACCCTCTTGATCAAACCACAAATAATCTTGAGTCCCCGATGCTTTTAACTGATAGCGGGTTGGGTGCAGAGCCCCCCCTCTTCTACCCTTCTAAGAGACTATAGTTGAAGTTACTTTATTAAAGCTTTTTATCTTTTTTTTTCTTTTTTTTTTTTTTTTTTTTTTTTTTTTTTTTTTTAATTGTATGGTGGAGCTGGAGGTGGAACTGCTCTCTGGAAGCCCTCTGCACCTGGTGGGTTGCAGCTGTGGGGCATTCCCTGCTCAAAGGACTGCTGGAGGGCTCGCTGGCCTCTTGTGCCATGGTATTTGGTTAGCATGGGCCCCTTCCAGCCCAGTCTGTTACTGGGAGGATAGGAAGTAGTAGCTTTGTACTGGGACTTAGGGACTTGGTGGGGCGGTGGAGATGGACCCTGCTGGGAAGCCATGGCCAGGGGTGATTTGTGCTCCCCCCTGGCTGGGTTGGTCTGACTGTCAGTGCCCAAAACAAGCAGGGTACGTTAGTGTGTGCCTTTAACTGGCTAAACTTAGATCTATTCATGATAAAATACTGATGAACTTGATGAGGAGCTGCTTTTGGCCGGAGCTGCATTAAGGCCCCTCCATGCCTGCAACAAGCCCTTTGTGCATTGCTTGCCCTGCTCTATCCATTCAGCTGCTTTTTAAAAAAACGACCTGTTCCTCAGCTGTTTGTTTGCTTTTTTTTTTGTTTGTTTGTTTGTTTTCTGATGTAGTCTGGGGTTATTGATCCTAAGGAAGGGCCTGGCTGGAGCTCCATGAGCTTTTGATCAAATGTCCTGCAGGCATCTTAGGAGCACGCTGGGAAGAGCAAACCACTATGCATCCACGGCTGGGCAGCTCAGTGTGTGCAGCAGGTCACGCCTTGGTGAGAGTGCTGCATCCAGAACTGGTGTCGGTGGTGCTTTGGGACTGGAGGTGCCCAGAGCAGAGATGAGGGATGTGCTCCAGCTCTGCTGCAGGGAGCTCATGCAGATTCTTGGAGGTATCCTGCTAACTTGCACACAACTGAAGCTTTTGGGTTGTTTTTAGCCACAGGTGTTAAGGAGGAATTAAAAAACCCTTATTTTTGTTACTGTGGGGAGGTGTAATAACTGTAGGAGGAATCATGTGACTTGCCAACACTAATATAGTGAAAGATTTTTTTTTTTTTTTTTAATGCACAAAAGTATATTGCTGAGCTGAGGCTACAGGCCTGAAATGCGTGAAGCAGGCTCTCCCTTGCACTGTAAAATAGCCCCTTTACCTCTGCTTACTCAGACACCAGTGAGACAGAGCTGTGGTGTATGTGATCGGAACAACTGTGCCAATAAATGATTTCTCCAAATGTCTTGTCTCCTGGACCCTGATTGCTTCTGCTTGACTTCAAACCACCTCAAACTGTTCTGTGCATTGTGGATGCCAGGTAAGACCTTTCTGGCTTCCTGCCAGCGGGGGCCAGTCCCAGCCCTGTCCTCTGGCCATCCTGGTGACAGGTGCCTTGTGCTGCCCCCTCAGCAGCCCCCGGGCATTGCCTGCTCCTGGCGATGGGGAAGATGCTTCAGCATGAACTAGAGTGGAGCCAAGCCTGCCCTGACCTCTGCACACTGGCACAGAGGATGCACTGGAGAGCTATGCCACCGCTCCTGCTGCCCGCAGCACAAGGTCCATTAAAATTTAATTTACTGACCTTTAGCTGTGTCTCACCCTGGTTAAAATTCTTTGGGGTCTGGCTCACAAGGCTTTACCACGCTGCCTGGAATGACAGCAAGGAAGCATCTGCATTTCATCTCAGCTGAGGGCTTCTAACTTGTGGCATGGTTGGGAATTACCAGTGTAAAAGAAATGAGAGCTGAATTATTTTTTTTTTCCCAAAGAAAACTTTAATTTCAACAAGACAGGAAGCTGCACAAAGAGAGCTACCGCAAGTTTGTTTGTTTGTTTTTTTTTAAAACAATAGCTTAAAACTATCTACATTGGTACTTGTGGAGTAGGGGTCCTCCCTCTCAGTAACAGTCTGGCCACAGGGGCTTGGCCTTGCAAAGGCCACCAAAGTGTACCTGGTAGACATAGCTCTTTCCTGCACCAGGCCACAGGCTGTCCTCCCCTTCACAAAGGCAAAGCAGCATTTGGGGGTAACAGACCATGAAAACAAAAATCCACCAGAAGTGTTGCTTCATCTTCTCACCCAAGCTGTTCCCAGGAGGAACATGGTGCACGTGTAAGTCCATCCTGATGCGTTTCAAAACAACAGTGGAAGCCTCTTCCAGTTTACATGTTAGTTTAACCCTAAAGCATCATCCTAAACTAGAGCTAAGTGGGCCAGGGAAACCTGCCCTGGCCCTTTGCTCAGGGGCTCAAGCCTTCCCATCCCAGGGATGGGCTCACTGCTGCCTTTTAGGGCAGACAGTGCATCAAGGGCTCCCAAAAAAAAATAAAATCCCGTAAGGGACAGCATGGTACAAACCTTCACTCTACTGCCCTGCATCTCCTGTGTACTCCCCGCATCTCCTTGGGCTGAAGCAGTGAAGTCAGGCACGGGGTTATTAGCTCAGGGCCATGCAAGCAGCTCCCTTCCCCTCTGAACCAGCTTCCCAGCTGCTAAAACACAAAGCTTTGCAAGTGCAGGGTGCCATCTGCTAGAGGGCAGGGAACCACAATAGCTGGCTTTCGGCTGGGGGCACATTAAAGTGGACAGAGCATCCCACCTCCTACGTTATTTAACATTGACAGGGCTTGTTTTCAAGCCCAGCAGCTTCCTTCAGCACAAGAGAAATGTGAAAGTTGCCTCTGCCTGTTTCCAGGATGTCAACAAGCCTGGGCTGAGGGCCAGAGCTTTTTCCCTGGATAAGGAAGCACGTTCCTCTCCCGGCTGACGTAGCATCCTTCCAGTGTGGAGCAGGCACCAGAGGCAACAGGGAAGAGGCTGCTTAAAGGGAAGCAAAACCCAGAAGGTTTTGCTCAGCTCTGAGCTGGAAAGGTCTCAAGCAAGGAAACAGGCAACTGGAGTTTCTATTTAAAATCATCCTAACCAAAAAAAAAATAATTCAGGTAAACCATCCAACAGGAGAGAAGGGGGCAAAAAAAAAAAATTCAACCCCAAACAGTAAGACTCCGATTAGCATATGTCACCATCCAAGCAGATGGCAAAGGCGGTGAGGAGCGGAGTCCGGCGACGCTGCACCATCACCCCACGGCTGCAGCTCACCGGTGTCCCGTCCTCGTCACCGTCCTGGGCCCTGTGGCACCCAGGGGCCTGGCCATCCCCACTGGCAGGGGACGAGGAGCCTCCTGCCTCCACTGCCCGTCTGCCGAACACCTCTCTGCCCGCCCGCCGCCCATCAGTTCTCGCCCGCCTGGACGTACTCCTCGGTGGCCTTGGAGATGGTGCTGAGGTACTGCCAGCTGAGGGCGGCCAGGAGCATGGCACACGATAGGTAAATGGGGGAGTAGTGGTGGCGTGATGCCATGGGGCTGCCGGGCAAGCTCATGGCACGGATGGAGGCGATGACCTGCTGCGTCTTGTTGGAGGATGGGTCCGTACTGGGGATTTTCTGGTAGATCTGGGGAGGGAGGAAGGAAGAGCTGTGGTTCCCACGCAAAGCTGAGGAGATAAACGGGACTGCTACATGGAAGAGGAAGACTTAATGGCTGCTGTGTCCTCAGGAGCAACCTCAGTGGTGGACTGCCATGGAAGAGGCCCAGCTGCGAGGGATGCCTGGATGTGGCCAGGGGCCATTTCCCTTGAGAGCTGCATTAAGCCAAGCAGCCTCTTGAGGGCACCCAATGACGGGAGATGGACCACAGAGCCTCAGACAATCCCTCAACCACACGTGGTGTTGCTGGGAGCAGTGGTTCTTGATCACCCCAAAGCAGTGAGGACATCCCTGTGTCCCCAGCAGCTGGTGTGACCATCAGGAAATGGCCTCCTCTATCAGATAACCCCATGGGTTTTGGGGTTTTCTTTTTGTGACCTGCAAACCCGATGGACTTTGAGATATACTTTTCTGCATGACTCTTAGGGAGAGAGACATGCACAAGCAAAGACCCTGGGCTAAGGTGTCACTGTCCCTTGCCATGGGGTTAGCCAGCCTGCTAAAGCGAGCTCTAATAGCCCATGGTTTGGGGTCTCCCTGATGCAGAAGTAACATCTTTTTACTGAACAGCCCATGCTGGATTTGGGGTTTTGGTGTTGGTTTTTTTTTTTTTCCCCCAATAATCTATCCACCAGTTGTTCCCCACATGAACTTTCAGCCTCCACAGTACACAGCCAGGGGTGCTTTAAGAACATGCAGAGTTGCCCTCATTTACTGTTGGCCATGGAGCACAAGGAAATAACCACTGCATCATGCTGCCATCTCCAACTACAGGCACACAGAAAACAAGACTGCTCGCTGGAGCAGCTCGTGGGGAGATGGTGTTTGTGTGGGAAAGGTCCTCTGCACCTGCTCAGCCCAAGGGAAGCCCTGAGCTGGGACAGCCAACTCCTTTGGTTCTCCACCAGAAGGATGGCAGGATCTCAGTCTCTGCCTCTCAACACAGGCACAGACCAAGGGTACATTCAAGGGAACACTTCAAGCACCCAATTTGGTCCAAGTCAAAACCACATCCATGTCACTGTGCCCTGGCACCACTGAACTAAGGGACCTAGGGAAAGGATTAAGAGATCTTCCTGATTTTGCACCAGGAATGAGGATGGGACCAGACAGAAACTACTCAATGCAAGCTGCTCAAACCTACCTCTTCCACATACTGGTACATGATGGCTTTGACAGCTTGGATGTTCGTGGCATCCATCATTAGAGTGACAGCTTGTCCTTTCCGGATCTTCACAACACCCCTGAACACCTGCTTGTTGTTATAGCAGGCAGCCAACGTGGCAATAGCCATCACCTAAGAAGAAACACCAAGAGGCCTTACTGCATTGCAAGGAGCTTGCCAAGGGAGTAGCCTTGTGAAATCGATGGCAAACTACTCTGGAGTGAAGCCACAATCTCACCAACAGCAGAAACAGCAGGTACCGAGCAAGAAGAAAGATAAGCTAATACTGATATGATATATAATCCCCACACACCTCCAACTCCTCATCACCTGGGCTGCAGATGATGAATAACCACCTGAAAGCCTAACTCACCTGGGGGATAGCACAGAAGTTGAAGACAGTTTGGTTTTTCAGGCGGGATAAGTATGTGAGGACATCAGGGACATGGTGGAGGGCATTGGTGATGAGCTCATTCAGACACTGGACAGCCATATCGATGTTCTCTGGTTTGGCAAGATCTGAGAGCTTCTTTGCGTATCTGCTCCAAACCTAAACACCAAGATAAGGACTCACAAGTTGGAGGGTACATTCATGCCGTAAGAGAAATATCAGTAACAGTCTGAGGTCTGGGAGAGCACCAAGAACCATCCATGAAAGCCTTGAAGGATTGGTGCTTACTAGGCTAAAGAAAAGAAGGGTGGGCAGGCTGTGGAGATGTGACAGTGGCCTTTGTATATACAAAGGGATTGCAAAAAGAAGGATGCAACTCATCTCCACACCTTCTTGAGGTAGGGCAAGGAAAAGACACCTCACACATCAAACTGATATCAAGAAATGCTCTATGAGACAGGTGAGCTGCATGGAAAAAAAGAGAAAAATTCTTGGAGGGCCTCAAGAAGAGCAGACAAACATGTGTCAGTCACAGACAGAGCTGACCCTGCCTTTGGGAACAGACTAGGTAATCCCTCGAGATCTCATCCAGTCTTATCTTCCCTCATTCCTAGAACCAACATAACAGAGAGGGAAAAAAGCTGCCCAACAAGTTCCTGGCAGTGTGGGGAGACAGTACCTTGTCCCCACATCTGCACCCAGACAGCTGTAGATAGACATGGAACTTGTCAGCCAGCTGTCATTAGAAGAGCTGTTATTATCAAGCAGATGTACAACCACCGGTAGCAATCTTATGCAGCACAGCTTTTACTGTAGGGTCTTGACAAAATTAAAGCAGACCGCCAAGTCTCTCCTGTGACTTTTGATTTAAAGGGATGTGAGAGACACTGCAATTTTAGCTGTGCACCTTCTGCTATGCACCTTGTAATACGTTCCCAAGACAGGAAAACACAGATGGTTGGCTCCACCCATTACAGGTCTTGGACAGAAGTATGAAAGACTGACAACGGACACCAACAAATGGTGGGAAAACTCTGGCTTTGGGGATTTCAAATTCCAGCAGGAGCTCCTCTAAGGAGAGGATGCAACTCATTGTATCAGAGCAGCAACGACAGTACTTTCAGCCTTGGTGCATTTCCCAAAGAGGCACAGCAGAAATGCTCCCCCCCAAGGCAGTGTTTTCCCTCACCTCTCTGGGCCAGAACTCCCTCCCGTCCAGCTGGTCCTCCAGATAGTCACGGATGATGTTGGTTTTCTGCAGGAAGAGGCCCATGGAGTTGGCCAGCTCCGTGTCCTCCCCGACAATAGGTTCTTCTAGCTCTGATGCAGAGAAGAGACGGGAAAGGCCAATCCCCACCAGCCCAGCAACGTAGTGACAATACTGCAAAGCACCGAGAGGGAAGGGGGCAGAAAACAAGTAAGATAAAAGGAGCGGTTACAAAAGAGCTGTCTATTTGTCACAGTGAGTTTTACAAAAGATGCTCAGAAGTAACTGACAATATATTTTCTGCAAGTTTTCACGGCCCTCCCTGGGATGTCTCAGCTTTCCTGTGGCCAGCAAACACCTCACCCGGGATGTCCCACCAAGGTGCCACTCTGCCTCCAGCAGCCCGATGAACTGCCCACAGGGAAACAGCTGATGTCTGGTCACCCAAAACACGTGCTGGTGGGCAACACCAACAGTCCACACCATCCTCCTGTTACCCACAGGACCAGCAGTCACTCAAAGCCTTCCTGAGCCCTCACAGCCTCCCTCATCCAGCTGAACCCTCTTCCCACAGGGATGCTGTTTCCTCTTTCCCCAGAGACAAGATGGACCCTACTCATGTTCAGTCCACTCCTCCGTCTGGGCTGACTTACCCTATCCCACTCATACTGAGAGTCCACCTTCTTCTCCAAGAACTCCGCCATCCCGACACCCATTTTGTGGCAAACATCTGAAATCACGTCCTGGTAGACCTTTGACAGGTTCCTGAACTCCATGGAGATCTACAGCCCAAATCACCACGAGGAAAAAAAAAAAAAAAAAAAAAAAAAAAATACAACAGTGTCAGGAAAAAACAGCAGAGCTCAACATTTATTAAGAAATCAGAAAAAGACTAGACTGTTTGCCAGGCTCTTATCCCACCCTGGCTGGAGATCTAGGACAACTCCTACAACCAGAGTTGTTTAAAGCACAGGCTGGGTCTGTTCTCAGTCTAAACGGTATGGTATCTGGCAGCAGATCAGACACAGCAGTATCTTTGAGAAGGCTCTGTAGCCTTGGACTGTATCATCTGGGAGTTGCTGGACAAAGCTAGCTACGCTTGATGCACAGAGTTGGGATTTTTTTTTAAATTCGTGAGAGTGTTCCATCACACCAAGCACAGGAAAAGATGGGAGGTTTCTGGTGCTCTGTTCTCCTGAGCCCTCTCCAGCTCTGGCTCCACAGGGCACATTTTGCACAACTGGAAAGGCCTCAAGTAACAGGGAAGGTGCAAAATCATTCTCCTACATGTCCAATAACATGATTCATTGACTCAATCGCTCTCACACTGAAAAAAAAAAATTTAAAATTAAAAAGTACCTCTTCCCCTTCCTAAAACTGTGGAGCACCACATTTTATTGTGCTGAGCTTTATTCTCTAACTACACCCAGCCCAGGGTGTGTGTTCAATAAGGGCAGTGGTCTGAACGATTACAGCTCAGACACCATCGCAGACCCAGGCTCTCCTCCTGACTCTATCCACGGCTGCTGGCATGTCCTTGCCCTGTGTCTCTGTAAAATAAGTGTATTGACTCTGCTTCTGTCTCGGTGGCTTCAATCCACTACACAGAGAAACTGGACCTATGAGTACAACTCCATCAAATATTACTAAAATCATACCTGAACATCAACTCAGATTTCCCAAGTGAATAACGCATACACACCAAAACAAAGTGCCATGAACACCTTCTCAAGAGCTTTTCTAAAGTACCGAGCCATTAGCATACCTACTATATCTCTAGCACTACGCATCAAGAGTCCCCTGACACAGTCACCTCCTATAGCGCACACCCCTCCCAGGCAGGGCACAGCCATTGTCACCCCAAAGCTGAGCATCAAAATTTACAATACACCTCAGTTTTCCAAACAATTATCCTATTCCCATTGCTAGGGAAAGCCTGATGAGGGTAGAATAAATTTTAAATGGTAAAAAGCTGAACAAAACAGAACTTCCTCTGAAAAATTAGATGCTCCTCACTCTATTATACTACTTCTTAAACAGAGCTTAAAAACAACCCTAAAAAATAAACCCAGCTATTCTTGATCAACGTGGGCAACAACAGAACTGCAGCATCCACCAAGGGCTGGTCCTTGTGTCTTCACCAAAACCAGACAACCGTGTCCCCACTCAGCAGAGCCCAGCCTCGTCTTCCAGCCACAGCATCTCCTGCTGTCAGCCTGAAGGATCCCCTCTAGAACGACTGCCCAGATGGGTTCCCCCTTCCACTCTGCAGGTAACACTGCACTGGGAGATGCTGCATCTTGGTGGGGATGAGCACTGTGGTTCCAGCTCTGTTGCCTGCCACCCTGAGCACCTACAGCACAGACTCAAGGCCCTGCAGCTACATCTGCACCAGTAACTTAAACATCAGGCCCAGACTCAGTTACCTGCTGCTACTCCATCAGCATGGCCCTGATGTCCTTCTAACCCCAAGCAATCCCCAGGCAGCGCCTGGGAAGTAGCATGGGCCAGAAAGCATTTCTCAAGGACAGTCTGGGACACAACCACACTGTTCTGTGTGCTGAGAGCGCTTTAACGGCTTGGACATGGCCAGACTTTCTCAGCTGGCCTCCAGGTCAGAGAACAGGCTCCAATACTGCTTTAGCTTGCTAGTGGAGATGCAGACTCCGTGACTATCTTTTAGAAGGATCCTTAGAGCAGCAAGACTTTAGGAAATACTAACAGTGAGGGTGCTTTTTATCTTATATGTCAAACCTGCAGGCAGACTCCTGTAGCTCTAGAGCAGATCCTGCAGGACTGCTGTAAACACTGGTCCATCCCTAAGCCAGATGCCAGACAAGCTTTCCTCCTCTCCCTATTACAGGTCACAGGACACTCAACACAGGCAATGCGCAATGTCGGCCAACAAATCCAAACCATCCTTCACAAGGCGATGGTCGTTTACTCTTCCAACAGGGGAGGCAAAAAGTCGCTTTTTAGAGCTGGCACTTTTCCACAGCCAGATCACCTCTGGCTCATATGGAGTCATGTAACATTTGGGTTTCTCACTCCAGCTCTACATCCAGCCCTACGTGCAGGGGATGTAGCTCTTCCGAAGAGCTACGGGCTCACCAGGGACTGAATGAGCTCAGTAAGCACAAGCAGGCATAATGTGGAAAGACAACCATACACACAAAGATGACCCAAGGCAGCTGAAGCAAGGAGGTGGACGTCTTACCGTTGGGAAGTCCTCAAGCACCTGCCGGTCCTTCTCTTTGCTCTCCGTGTATTTCCACTCTGGTTGATAGAGATAGGAGTGAAACTCGTGCAGCATCGGGACCTTTACATCTAAGCTGATGGTCATGTCATCCTCTATAGTGTCCAGGGCACGGAGAACTAGGTAGAATATACAGACGGCATGTCTGGGGTGGGGGGGAGAAAAAAACAATCACCCCTTACTTGGGATTGCCTTTTAGGCAGGACAAAGAGTTTATTAACCACACAGACTTTGGCAGAGGTGCTGCCAGCTCAACACGACATGCACTGGCACCACCAGGTCACTGATGCTGTGGGAGATACAGGCACTTCCAGCACAATTCTCTTTCACGTTTCAAATAATATTATACTCCAGCCATCGAGCAGAATGGAAAGTGATGATGTGAAAACCTTCCCAGCCCCCACTGTTGTATCCCAGCATTTCCTACAGTTTGGAAACCAGCTTTGGTCAAGGGATATCCCTCTTCTGTTAAGTCACAGAATGGTTGGGGTTGGAAAGGACTTTTAAAGGTCATCTAGTCTAACCCCTCTGCAACAAGCAGGGACATCTTCAACTACATCCAGGGCATCAGCTCCTCCAGGCCTCCTCTGGGGACAGTGGCTGTCCCCTGCAGCATGGGAACGTAAAATAAATGCATTAGAAACGTGCTGCTCAAATCCCAGGGTCAAGGGAACAGGATAGAGATGGAAAGCGCCAACAGCAGTGCTTCCCACCTGACTTGCTCCTCATCTCCTTGAACTCTCCACAGGCTGACCACTGCGAAAGCTGCAGCACACCTGAACTGGGTTAGGAGACCCAGGTTCTTCCCTTCACACAGAGAACTACAGCATGGCTTTTGGCTTTCTGAGATGCATACTGGGGAAAGGCCATCTTCCTGGGCAGGGCACTGCCAGATCCAACCCTGCCAGCAAGATCCAACCCTGCAAGCAAGGCCAGCACTCTCTAGGACCCAGAGGACAGAGCCCGAGGTCAGCTCACTGGAAAAAACAAATGCAAAGTAAGGAAGGGAAAAAAGCAGGTGTACTTTTCCTATCAGTTCCCCTTCTCTGCACCCAGCACCCTTTTATCCTGGTTGGGGGGGGAGGGGGGGGCAAAGGGGTCCCTTACTGCACAACATGAGTGTCAGGACTAGCAGATACTGCCAAAACACCCTGTTATTTTTAAATCAGCATGCACAATCTGCTGTATCAAGCACCCCAGTGGAAAGCAGCTGGAGAACCACTTCCCCTCCCTGTCCCCATCACACCCCCCCTCCCCACCCAGGCTCCATGTTTCTGCAGCTGAAG